TTGAGACTGTGGTATATCTCCTGTAGAGCTTACAGTAATTAGACTAGCAGTAAAGAGATTAAATCTATTCTTAATCTTTAACTCTAAATTGGAAGCTTCAGACTGCTTCAAGTTATACAAATTCTCTAAGTACATTAAATTGTCTTTACTAGCCAAAGCTTACTAAGTTAACCAAGACATTAACTTGTCTTTGTTACTCTCTTATTTTACTTATCTAAAACCTCTATTCTACTAACCCAAGTAGCTAAGTTCTTAAGCTACAAACCAAACCTTCTTACAGCCCATCTTCTAAGATTCCTTAAAAGTCCCTTGTAAACAGGCAAGTATGGCTTTAAAGTATTCAAGCAGATTAGTAGGTGGTCTTTAAATTAGTCCCCCACAAATACCAGGATAGCTTGGTTGAAAGGCTAACCCAGTGAACCCTGGAAAGAAAAGATTGGGAAAACCAAATCTAAATATTCCATACTATACCCTTCTTGCTTTTAGTCTAAGATAGACCAAACTCCATTCTCTTTTATCAAGAAGTAGCCTTCTAGGATTCTCCTAGAATCTTCTTTATACCAAACCTCATTTTATTTCTACTTACTTTTCTGATCCTAACCTTTTCTTTACAACAACACATGTGAAAGACCTCATTGGTGACCCAGTCAAGATCTGGAAGAAGCTCAAGTCTGTGCACCTGCAGAAGCATTTTGAGAGAAGTTCTTCTCCATTCACATGGCTGACAATAAGTCTCTGTTGTCTTTGATGACCAGGATCGATGCTGCCATGCACAAAATCAAGAATCTGCATTCTACCTTCTTCACATTTGACAGCCTTAATGTAGAACTGGTCTCTATGACTATGGTTCATGCTCTGCCCACCTCCTACTCCTATTTTGCCTTGTCCTTGCAGCTACTCGACAAACTCGACAAAGACACACTCCAGGCCATCTTTATCAATGAGGAGGCCCTCTGCACTCGCTCCAGCATGCCAGGAGCAATAGCTGTCCTGTCTGCTTTAATGTCTCAGCCTACCAATACTGGTATATGCGACTTCTGCTTGCTCCCAGGTTACCTTCAATTGTAGTGCATTCACTATGTGCGCATGAAGGACCAGGTAACTAAGGACACGTAGGAGAAGAAGGAGTGAGGTGGCAAGGGCAAGTCCATCTCTTCTATCACTTCAAATGCCTCCAAATTGTCCTCCACTGCCGCAGCAGTGCACAAAGACTCTGTCGAGTTTGTTGGCCAAGTCTTTGTGCGTCACTCTGTGCACTCTACCACTCTTGGCTCCGCCTCTCACTTTCTCTGGACTGCAGACACAGGGGCCACTTCTTATATGACACCCTACAAACACTGGTTTCACAACTACACCCCAATGAGAGTTGCTGTTCATTTTGCAAACAATCGCATCATCTACTCTGAGGATGTAGAGTCAGTAGTGTTTGCTCCAGAAGTTAAGAAGAAGCTAGTGCGCAAACTAGAGTTTAGTAGAATGCTGCATGTACCAGAGCTTGGCTCCAATCTCTTCTCTGTCCTGTATCTCGTTCGTCATCACAGTCTCAATGTTCACATCTATTCTGATTGCATGAACTTTGACCACAATGGTGAGACACTGTTCTGCGCCTTTATCAACACCTCTAACACTGCCTACTTCGATGGGACAGTCATTTCTGCTATGGATTCTGCTCAGGTTGCCAACTCATCCGCTCTACCACTTGATGAGTAACTTTCATCTGGAAAAGCTCACAATGTTAATTACTACTAAATAGTACTAATTAACACTAATTAATATAGTAATATTAATTAACTGACCCCTCTATTATGCTTACATTTCTAATAGTAAATTAAGACTAATCTAGTAATTCATTCATAAACTGTTCATGAGCTATTCATTAGCTATTCATTTGATATTTATCAACTGTTATTTGGTGTTAATGAGCTGTTATTTCTTGTTAATAGACTGTTATTTCAGTATTCTTAGCTTCAAAATCAATGTACCAAACTCAAATTTAATTTTATACACATTTCTTATGTCATACAACATATTGATAGCTCTATACAAGCATAATATTCAGAAAAAAGAAAGAAAAAAAGAATGACCCCAATGATAATTGAACCTCAGTCTCATTACTTTCAAGCCATCTGTTAGAACATGCACACTTTAGCTACTGAGCCATAAAGCTCACATAAACTTTACACTTCAATGTACTTATATACACTTAGCTAATAACTTGCAAATAATTTCCAAGTGCAATCTAGAAGTTTAACACATACTCACAGTTCTAAGACTAAATATGACTGTTGTCCTTGTATATAATGCTAAATGTACAATATTTAATATAACCGTCATTTGCTAATACAACAATGTTTAATATATACAGTGGCTTTTTGCAATAAATTATCAACTATTGCTTTAGCTACTGAATTTGCTAGTTAAAATAACATGTTGTTAGTGTGCAATAGTAATAAATAAAGGGCAGAATGGATATGACATTTTATGACACAAATACAGTTGTATATAGCGTATTAGCTAGTACTTAGCAAAAAAAAACTATTTGCTGTTCTTGCGATAGTACATAAATGCTAGTCTATGTATATAAAATATGTTAGTGATGTTAAAAGCTGTATATATTATTTTTTGTTGTAGAATTGGCATTTTCTTTTACTACTTGTGTTTACAAAATGTATTACTATTATTTTTGACAATTAGCAGTTTGAAATATGAGATATAAACTTAAAAACATTTTTAATTAATTTATTTGTATTTAAAGATGTTGAATATATTTGGACGCTTAATTAGCGCTGAAATAACATTTTGATATATTTTTAAAACAGCTTCATTATCAAATATTGTTCAGTAAAATATTATGAATTATACTTACTTTTATAGCTTACTTTAAATAATAATGGCATCTAGCTAATATTACTAGTAATTATATCTTTTCGAATTACAAATACAATAATTAGATTAGAAACTAAAATAGATAACTATAAAAGCAAATAATAAAGATCAGCCCATGTTAAAATTATATTTATTAACAGTAGTCAAAATAAAAAAAGTAATAAAAAAACACTTAAAGCTGTAAATAACTTTATATATACTACAAAATATACAATGACTATTTAAAATAGTGCACAACATTACAAAGAAGAATCAAAGTTTTGCTACATTTTTTTTTTACAATTACTATAGCAAACTAAATTATATAAATATAACTTTTACACTAGAATACTAGTAGCATCTTTGCGAGGTATTATTTCGATACAAATACTGAGTGCGCAAAAAATGTAGCAAAAATGGCTGGAAAATAGATATATATTATAAGAACTATAAAATACTACAGTTTACCAGATCAAATATAACTGTGCTTTAGCAAAATTCTATACTATGTGACACTGCTATTATATATTAAAGATATAATATATTATTGAAATAGATAAGCTATGAGGATATTTATATTTGTTAAATAATAAAAACATGCATACACTATCGTGAATGAAGAAAGTAAGACTGAGTTAGGGAGAAACTAAGTTTGCTTTCTAACCGAGTTAGGTGGACCAGGCGTTAGGTCAACTTCTGCCTTAGATGTTTAAGAAGGAGAATTTTTGGTCGCAAGCAAGGATATACTTATAAAGAAAGACTGGGAGTACTTCACATATAATTCTACTTGAAGATAAACTACAAGCAGAGGTGTGACGCCAACAAAGACCACTGGAAGACAGCCGTGTGCTATCAACCTAGTGAGACTAACGTGAGTCGTAGATATAGATGTAACGTAAGACAAAAGCTCGTATACCACATTTCAGCACTGAGTTGCTGGGTGGACTCAACTGACTGAAGCTGACTGACTGAGTAAACTCACTACTACGCAGGTGATGCAAAAACACCAGGTGGACTAAGAGATACCCAGGAACTACTTTGCTTAAGAACAGAGAAACTGGGCTGGAGCTGGGGCTCAACAGCAGGTACCTAGAATAAACACATACAAAGACCTCTGAACCAGGCGTCACCTATGCAGGTGGTTGAAATTCAGAGGGAGCTGACCACAGTGCAGAGAAATTACTGCTTAATATGAGGCTGGGGCACTAAGTACATGAGTGGAAGGGTTATATACACTTGAGAGCTCTATATAGGGGTTTGCATTTCTAAGCTACTTTTGCCCAGGTTCCTTTTCAATTTGTCCTAGCTAAGCCCTGGCAAATTCCTGACAAATACCAAGCTTTTCTAAATAGCTCCTATGTGTTCTGGCCCTAGTTCTGGCTTGCTTCAAAGGCCTGGCCTGCTCTTTCCAGGGCACCACATTCTTAGGGGCCCAAAATGCCAAGTTTTCTCTTTTCAAACAGTAGCTCCTATTTTGCAGTCATGGGTCTAGTAGCTTCTATCAGGGGCTATTTTACAGCCTTGGGTCTAGTAGCCCTTATCAAAGCCTGCCTGGACCACTCATGCTTTTACTGTCTGCCCAGTATTTGTCTTTGTCTCTGTTTGCCCTTATTATGTAACAACTTGATTTGACGCATAATATTTGGAGGTTGCTTGAAATCACAACTGTTCCCAGTTGTGCATAGGTAAGTTGTTGCAGAGTCTGAGTCTGAATGAGATGACGTCTCATATATTGGATTTGTAGCACTCCTGCTAGAATCTGACTTATAAGCAGAAAACTCCTCAGAGCTTTCAGATATCCAGAAGTCTGTGCCAGAGCTTAACTCATCTTCTGCTAGCTTCTCCATGATTTCTGAGATATATTCTGGTGATCGTGCAATATAGAAGATAACGCGGAAGGCTGCAATATGCTGCTTGAAAATTATGCCATCCAGTTCCTTGATAATGTAGGCTCCATTACGAGTTTGACATATGACCTCAAATGGTCCTAGATAACAATCATGCTCTTTGGAGAGAGAGCCTTCATCATGCTTATTACGTATCAAAATCAAAGAGCCAGGAGAATATGCTCCATGAACTAGCGTGGCTTTGAAGCATCACTTGAACTGCCATTTAGACTAAAAGCGATGCTGCTTGAGAACGTCTGCTGCATGTGCCATGTCTTCTAGCTGTTTTTGCAACTGCTAAATATGCAAGGACAGAAGTTCAGTAGAAGACATATTGTGGTGAAATCCATCAACAAGGAAAGTTGCTTCTGCCAGGTCAAAGGGCAGAACTGGGTGCATTCCATGAAGGAGGTAGTATAGTGAATATTCTGTCTGGCACCGTACTATAATCTTATCTGCAAAGAAGGCATGTGGAACATAAGTGGGCCATTTGTGTACCTATCCATTGTACATCTTCAGAAGGGATGCCCAAATAATAAAGTGACCTCTTTCTACAACCTCATTTGCCCATGAGTTGTAGTCTGAAATTTGCACATGTGAAATGCCATATCTCTCCATTAGCAGGCTAAAGGCTGCCTTTACTTCAGGCCCATTATCTGTGATTACCTGGCCCACTGCTCCATGTCTGCAAAGGATTTGTTCCCACAAGAATTTTGCTATGGAGGTGGAGCTATTGTGCTTCAGAGCTCACCTTTCTGCTGCTCCTGACAAGTCATCTCTGGCTGCTGCAATGTAGCAATATCCATGACAAGTGAGCATGTACATAATATCTATATAGATTTTAAGGAAGATTGTTGAGAGTGTGTAGACCATGATAAGTACCGCAGCTTTAGCCACACTTCTGATTTGACATTGATGGCAAGATCTCACATGGTGCTGCACATCATTCCATAGAGAGGGCTAGTAGAAGCATTCCTTTAAAGTTGCCATAGCTGCTTATTCTTCCCCATGTCCATGGCTTTTATGAGCAGCTCTTAGCAGCTGTTGACGCTTAGCTCTGGTAAAGATGCATTTAATAGGTCTTTTAGTTCCTTGCCACTTGTACATCGCTTGCTCTGAGACGTAAAACTTCATGGCTTTCTTAATAAACCTCTCTCTGCTCTTCAGATCTGCAAAATCTGGTGTTTGCATGGTTTGCAAGAAATGATAGATTTCAGTTATGGTTTGGTTTTGCCGGGAGAAAGGTGCAGTGAAGGCCATGTTTTTGCTGGGTTCACCCTCTTCATAGATGCATGAATGAAATACTTGCAAGGTCCAAATTGGTTGGAGGCTTACCATTATAGTGAATTGAGTTACTGACTGGAGCCATTCCTCACACTGTATTGGAATATACAGTGGGATGTCATTTAGCCAGCTGTCATTTTTCTCACAGAGTTCCTCATCCCCTCCCAGCTCTTTTCTAGACAATGCATCAGAACCTTTATACTTTTCAGCTGGGATGTGAACTAGCTTAAAGTCAAAGAGCAGGATTTCTTAGATCCAGCAATTGATGGTTGCATTAGATTGCAGGTCAGGATCGTTAAGTATGCCTTTAATATACTTGGCATCTACTTCCACCACTAAGTGCTTGGCTCCAATAATATAGAGTCGATAGGCCTGTAATGCTCTAAATAATCTGTAGAGCTCCAGTTTTGGCTGTGAGTAGCATGCCTCACGTTCATTCATGGGAATAGACCTATAGCGTGCTGGCCACTTTCTTCCATCTTTATCCAATTGGAATAAGATAAATTCCACAGCTATAATACTGGAATCCACTGAAAGAACCACTGACTGCTCCAGCTGATAGTCAATGGGGTGCAATACAAAGGGTGATGTTAAGGCCTATTTCAGTTCTTCAAAGGCTTCCTGGTGCTGGTCATTCCAGACAAAGTCTGAGTCAAAGCGTATGAGCTCTGTAAGAGGGCGAGCCTTTAGAGAGTAGTTGTCTATTCAGATACGCATAGTACCACATAATCTAAGAAACCCCCAAACTTCTTTTGGGGTCCTCAAAGTAGGCCAGTTCAGGATCTTTTCAATGTGTTGCTGGTCTGAAAGACACCCCTTGGGCGTGCACAGTTGTCCAATAATCAGGGCCATTTCTTGGCAGAGTTGAACCTTAGATGGAGAGAATGTTCCTCCAGCATGTCCTACAAAATGAATTATTTGGTTGACATTGTTGGCATGTTCCCAGATAAAGTGATGTATTCCTGGGTTGGCTTGTAATACTTCAGGTTAACCTATCTTGTCTTCATACTGACTTACTGGACCTCTAATTAGAAGGTCATCCATGAAGATGTTAGCAGAGTCAGGGATTTCCTGCTGAAGAATGAATGACATACAGGCCTGAAACTCAGCAGGTGAGTTGGTAAAACTTGTGGGTAAGGACATGATTCACAAAAGGCCAAGAGGTGTAAGAAATGCTGTAAGATCCCTGCTTTTGGAATGGACCTTACGAGCATCAAAGCCCCAGTGAAGGTCAAAGACTGTGTAGCACTGGCATCCTGCAAATGGCTGCATAAGATTATCAAGGTTAGAAGGAAGGCCTGCATCCCTGATAGAAATTTTGTTGAAAGACTATAGGTCATGAACAATTCTAAGCTTTCCACTTTTCTTCAAGACACAGAACCACTGTGAACAGTAAGATGACTGACTAGACTCATAGACACCAGCTGCAATCTTCTCTCTAAGCAAGTCAATGACTTTTTGGTGCATTCCCAAAGGTATTGGAATGTTCTTGAGTGCTCAAGGTACATGGAGTACCACTGGGATAATGTATGAGGAGAAATAATCTTCTCTGAAAGTATCTCGCTGACTGTCTTCAAAGACAAAATGATTCTGATGGGTTTGAAGAAGGGTACAGAACAGATTTTCCTCCTCTGGCCAGATGAATCCATCTGGATTGATATTCATGGCCTCCAGATTTTCTTGGCTAAGCTGGCCTCCATCAGGTGTAAACTTAGGTGGGTTAGGTGACAGAGTAGGCAAACTGGCCATAGAGTCTTCAGAAAACTGCCTATTAACTCTTGCATCTTCTGAAAAGACTGCAGACACAGATTTCACCTTTCTATCTGCTTTCTTGTAAGCAGTAAGCACTTCTGGAGCACACATTAATTTTGCTGAAGAGAACATTGGCAAGGCTGCAAAACTACAGAGCGAACTCGATGCGCGAGATACGATAATCCTGCACGCCATCCTTGTTGTTTGCATGTCAGAAATGGTGGCACTGGCATAGTGTAAGTTGTTCTTCTCCATGCAAAAATGGCAAGCCGAAGTTTTTGTGATATGGGTAAAGTGTCTTGAAGGCCGTTGTTGTAAAGAAAAGGTTAGGATCAGAAAAGTAAGTAGAAATAAAATGAGGTTTGGTATAAAGAAGATTCTAGGAGAATCCTAGAAGGCTACTTCTTGATAAAAGAGAATGGAGTTTGGTCTATCTTAGACTAAAAGCAAGAAGGGTATAGTATGGAATATTTAGATTTGGTTTTCCCAATCTTTTCTTTCCAGGGTTCACTGGGTTAGCCTTTCAACCAAGCTATCCTGGTATTTGTGGGGGACTAATTTAAAGACCACCTACTAATCTGCTTGAATACTTTAAAGCCATACTTGCCTGTTTACAAGGGACTTTTAAGGAATCTTAGAAGATGGGCTGTAAGAAGGTTTGGTTTGTAGCTTAAGAACTTAGCTACTTGGGTTAGTAGAATAGAGGTTTTAGATAAGTAAAATAAGAGAGTAACAAAGACAAGTTAATGTCTTGGTTAACTTAGTAAGCTTTGGCTAGTAAAGACAATTTAATGTACTTAGAGAATTTGTATAACTTGAAGCAGTCTGAAGCTTCCAATTTAGAGTTAAAGATTAAGAATAGATTTAATCTCTTTACTGCTAGTCTAATTACTGTAAGCTCTACAGGAGATATACCACAGTCTCAAATAATGACGCCACTAGCTCTCGCAGTCTAGGGTTAGTCAAATAGTGAACTTGTGCACTATACCAAGGATGTTTCCCTTTCAGGTTATTTGAAAG